TCTTTGCTGTTGTTACTTCGTTTGTTTTTCTCTAGAGATTTTCTCTTTTCAACTTTAAACATATCAAGGACTCGCAAGGAACGTCTGCTTCATATGGATGGTTACGGTTCGGTCACTCAACACGATGACATTGTGACGAGAGGCCCCATAAGGCCTTTCGTCACAATTAGAGGTGGCAACCCAAACTTATAGCGGCCAAAGCTGGAATATTGAAAATGGCGGTTTGGGGGAAGTTGAAAAACTCAAGATCGCGGTTGAAAAGATTCAAGATTGGCGACCCAAGTTGAAATCAGTATTTCCTTTCCTTTTCTTTTAAACCCGGTATATATGAAGACCTTATCTATTGTAACAGTTGTGTGAAAAGATAAATTAAACACGGTAAAAAAGTAGGTGAAGTAACTTACTCTTTTACGGTGTTTAATTTATCTTTTTACACAACTGTTTCTTTAGAGACACCGACGCAGCTCACACTAGTTTACCGCTGGTTCCCACCACTTATCTATTGTGTTTGACCGTCTAAGATTAAGATTAAGACATGCAAATGAGCACATGTAAACATTTGCCCTCCGCAAATTGCTACTGATTTCAGAGAGCGTTACGGGTTTGGTCACTAGTTTTGTTACTTTTGTTTATCAACGAATTTTTGTCGTTAGGATAGCGTCGAGTTACGTACGCACGTAGATAGTGCTAATCTCTTTTSCTTGGTACGTAACGCCAGCGTAGCAAGATGATCGCAAAGGGGCGTCTTGTTCTCTTCTAACATTTYTATTGGCACACCGTAAATTGATCTAAAACCAAATACCGCAAAATAGTCATCATAACGTTAAGGCCGATTTAGATGACACAACTTTTGTTTACAACCATCGCACGCGATCTGCGTAAAAAGTAATCCCTACTGACAACATAGTTACAACTGTCTTGGGGCTATTAAGCAATTGTTTTTTTTAATCACTGCGACATTTGTAGCCATGTTGTATAAAGATGAGTTACGCAGGTTGCATGTGATGGTTTTAGGCAAAAGTCAGTTGTGCCGTCTCTTCAGCCTTTACACGGTCTTGGACGTCATATTCGAGAAAAAGCGCAGCCTCTTCAACGTAAAGAACATTTACGTGCGTAAATTACGTGATTACGTARCACAATACTTTCAGTAAGTCGTGACTATCGTAATCCTAACAACCAATACAAAAGTATCTTTYTCAGTTGAGATATCACTTTAAATATACACTCTACTTTAAGTTAATTCCWCTAATACCCTCGTTATTTGAACGCGCACGTATTTGCCACAGGTTGCTAAGGTAACGCATTGTCTAGTAACTTTTAATAAAAGTTTATGGTAATTTTCTAAAGAGTTTATTCCAACACAAACAAAAGGTCATAGTGTGTTCACTTCTAATTAACTGCAAACATTGATTTGAAGCTATAACTCCGTGAAATCACAAGCTTATGTAACAAGRCGTAAAGGATCTGGTCGACGCGTCKTATAGTTCTTAARCAAGATCTTCTTGTTCGTTGCAAAGCTTGGGACGTCTCAATCAAGAGCAAAAAGAGTTAAAAAGACATATAGTTCTATTCCTAGACGTTGGTCTTCATAGTCTGTTTGCSRTCATTGTTGACTTTCGAGGGAATTATCACACACGAAGCTATTAGCAAGTGGTAGAATCGAATACAATTTCTACACAGTTGGAGAGATGAATTTATTTTTCCCTCAAGGAAAATAAGTTATCAATTGCTTCCATTTTATGGCTAAATGATTGGATTTAATAACTCCTGAAACTGATACAGCAGACGCGAAGTTCTAGAGTTAATGTTCCATGGTCTGATAAATCCAAGAGTTATAATTACTTTACGAACTTCCTGAGAAGTCTGTKTTTGATTCAAAATGCGTTTCAAGATGGCGCAGAGCGAGGCGGATGGATTGTTCATGAAAGCAAATAGAAAGCATGAAATCTTATTAAATTTTGAACTCAAAAGAATCGCCGTCGAAAAAAAGATGCGTGAACGATACTTCAACTTCGAAAAATCCTTAATGGTYGCTCATCAAAGTAAAATCATTGCAAGGCAGAAGGCTCTAGGTATCTACCGTCCCAAAACGACTCCYGATAAGAAACGGACTGCCACCAACTCATTTTTCATTGCTAACGTTTCTATGGAAACYAAGGGTCGTGCGAAGCTTCCTCCTCTGAAGGAAGCTCGGCGAAGAGCAAAACCTCCTTGTGATAAAAAGGCATCCGGGTCASTTTCGGCTCGTGCGAATTCTACAAGAAACTTGTTCACTATTCATCATARCAGTTCACCGGATTTAAAACAGGGCTGGTCTTTGACGGAAGTCGCAGATAGCGSAGAATCTTTGGTGGATAAATGCTTAGATTCTAAAATAATGGAAAGCATAGATTCAGTCGATAATGCTCCCGCTGGAATACAGAATGCAACCCGCGTAGCAGGAAGTGATGTTCAGGATAAAAAAGACGACGCCTCAAGTACTGCACATAATGGTGAAAGCTTGTCTGAACAGAAAACGATTCAAAATGTGTCTGAAAAGCGTCCCAGTTCTGGAAAAGATACGATCTGTAATGCGAAATCACATGAAGACACTCATAACTCCAGGGACRCAMCGGAAAARACATCAATCGATTCTCAGCAAGTTGYCGRAGAGAGCGACGCGGAAAAWGATAMCGGAAAAACACAAAWATCAACCCAAATAGAAAATATGCACCAAAATAACAATAATAAGTCGTCAATGGGTGACAGCGAAGATCGACCCAAATCTGCTAGGAGTCTAGAGAATGRTCTAGAAGGTGTTCAGGCGGGAATTTTGAATCTAAACCTGCGCGCACAATCTGCGGGAGTCAAGACSAAGTGATTATAAACTAAAAGATTGGATCAATTGATTTGTGATATTTATCAAGACTTGACAATAAAGGACTTCAAAAATTTTATTTTTAGTTGACATCTTAATCCATTTTCATGAAAGACCCATGAAAGCCACGTACATAAAAGTACCTTTTTAATAGAAAACTAGTTTTCGTCTCAAAAGGAGACCTTATCGCTAATAAGGTATTTATTATTGCACAACCGAATTGATAAGGTCTTAAAGACGAAAAGTAGTTTAATTCTACATCAAAGAAAATGGTTTTATGTACTAGAATGGGCAACTAATAGCTTAAGATGTCAGCTAAAAATGAAGATCAAATGATTATCACTCATTTACATTTTTCAATTTTTGACATTCTGTAGATAATAAATATTAAAACTTCAGATTTTCTTATCTGATGGCAAAGTCTTTTTATTGCACTTTAGGAAGCTAACTCTTTCCCAGATTAGAAAATTTTTCAAATTTGTTTTTKCGGCGGATCTCAGTGACCCTGCATGATKTGCAATTTTTCAGACTTGCTCGCCATAATGTTCGTATTTTAATTTTGTCGTTTGTATCGCATATTCATGTAAATGTTAATACAGGTTCTCTGTGTTTGCTCCCATTTGATAGCTGTTTTCATTTTATAGTGACATAAAAATTATATTTCACTGCAGCCGGTTCAGGTGTTCATGAGTGATTTTCGTTTACGCGCTCCTGGCCTACAATTTTTGCGAGCCGCCTCATCAAAACTTTTCAATTTTCGTAGACGCAAATACAATTAAAAGGTTCCTGCAGCTTATAGCATATTTTATTAAATACCC